CCAATACAGGTGCCCTGAGGCTAATGAAGGTTTGACATATGCCACGTGACACTAAACTTAACTCCACTAATATTGATCAGCCCCCTCTATTAGATTCACAATAACAGCATGGCACGTATCACTCTGACTTCCCTGATAATGCTTCCCATTCATTTCGGGAAGTAGCACTTGGAAGTCCCTGAAGTATTTGTAAACGTCTTCTTTATATCGGATTTGGCATCACACTGTAGGTTGCTAAAAACAAAATAAAATCATTTCAGTAACATTTCACATTTTTTTGTGTTATTGAAACAAATAGCATTTAAAAAGAAATTTCTTCTTTAAATAAAATGACCAGTCCCTGTGCCCATGCAAAACAAAGGTTTATTTAACTTCCCCCTCCACAGCAATACATACTTCCCTTTCCTTTACTCCCTTAGCCACTCTGTGCAGTCGCTGATACACTCGGAATTTCAGGGTAAGGGTGAGCATGTGACAGTACTGATGCCTCATGATTGACCCACTGCTGTCACATGGAGGTAGGGAAGAATCCTGGGGCCCTACGTTCCAGCAAGCTGTTTTGAAGCTTACACAGGGAATAAAAGGAAAATCTTCCTATTGGCTATGACAGTGGTGGGCAACCTTTTTTTTTCAACTGAGCCAAATCTCGCCAAAACCACGCTTGAAATTTATTTTGAGAGCCACATTTTTAAAACTGAAAATACATCCCCCATAGTAATTCATCCCCCATAGTAATTCATCCCCCATAGTAATTCATCCCCCATATAGTAATTCATCCCCCATATAGTAATTCATCCCTCATAATAGTAATTCATCCCCCATATAGTAATTCATCCCCCATAGTAATTCATCCCCCCCATAGTAATTCATCCCCCCCATATAGTAATTCATCCCCCATTTAGTAATTCATCCCCCATATAGTAATTCATCCCCCCTATAGTAATTCATCCCCCATATAGTAATTCATCCCCCATATAGTAATTCATCCCCATATAGTAATTCATCATCCCCCCTATAGGAATTCATTCCCCATATTGTGTCAATTCACTTACCTTTGCTCCGCGCGTTCCTCTCGCCGTGTTCCCCACGCCGTTCCGGTCTTCAGGGCGGACTGTGAGAGGAGAGGAGTTCGTCACGCTGCCCCGCCTACATCCTGACAGCCAATGTTTGCCATGCTCCGCGGGATTAAAAGGTCCGCCAGGCTGTATACGGCCCTGCGGGCCGTAGTTTGCCCATTGCTGGGCTAGCTGCAGAGTCCTGACTTTTGGGGCAGCCGCCCGAGAGGAGGGAGGGGAGCGGGCGCCCGGCACACAGAAGAGCTGCATTAAAATGTGTAAAGAGCCGCATGTGGCTCGCGAGCCGCGGCTTGCTGACCACTGGGCTATGAGACAAGAAATTAAATCTCCCCCAATAAGTACACAAAAAAAACTGACAGGGGTTATAACTCTCCCTTACTCTATCCAAAATGAAAAAAAGTTTTGCCTTTAGCTTTACTTTAAAGGATAAATTCAACTTTTAGACAAAAATAATAAATGCACATTTTTTGCAGGTAAAAAAAAAAGTGCAGTTATTTTTGTCTGCAGAAGCCTGGAAAGCATTGCACCAGCAATCAGTAGATCGCTGATGTCATGCAAGTCTCCTGCAGACCTGTCAGAATATCTGTTTGCTGTACGGGATGTACGGTCAAGCAGATATTCTGACAGGAATACGTACAGCTGGGCTGTTTTTCAAATCTGACAGATAATACGGGGAGAAGTTTCCCCGTATTTTCTGATGGGGGGGGGGGGGGGGGGGGGGGTTGGCAGCGGGGCGGCTATGGGAACGTGTTACATGTTCCACCCTAAAAACGGATGGAACATGCAACCTGTTACCAAAGGTGAACTTATCCTTTAAAGTGATATTAAAGGTTCAGATTTAAAAAAATAAAAACCTACTTGCTCTGTGCAATGGTTTTGCCCAGAGCAGCCATGATCCACCTCTTTTCGGGTCCCCAGCCAGTGCTCCTGGATCCTCCCCTCTGCTGAGTGCCCCCAGAGGGGGCACACGTGAGTGCTCGCTCCTGAATCCCACTCTGTGTGTAACACACACAGCGCGGCTCAGCCCTGCCCCGTGCTTGCTTCTCACTGGCTGTGACTGACAATGGCTCCCGCTGCTCTGTCTCAGCCTAAGAGGAGAGAGAGACTCAGGAGAGCCAAGGCTCAGGTAAGTATAAGGGGGACTATGGGGGGAGCAGCACACAGAAGGTTTTCTACGTTCATGTATAGAATGCATGAAGGTTAAAAACCTTTTAGGCTTTACAATTATTTTAATTAAAGAGCAGTTGTTCTAACCTTACCACATGCTTTTTGTTCATTTTACTCTTTGTAATAGTTTATGTACAAAAGTTAATTCAAAGGAACAAAAAATAAATAAATAAAAACAATGAAAAAAAAAAAAAAAAGGGATCACACAGGCCAATACACCATAGAATATTGCTGCTTTCTGGTTGGTTACACTTATGAGGTGTCTATTGTGGAAAGTAGAGATATAATGATTGATGAGAAATAAAGGTTTGTAAGTCCCCTTCACACAGATGGGTTGATCGGGTCCATTTTTCAGGTGAACTTGATCAGACCATCCATTGCCCTCTATGGAGTGCTGGCTGCGATGTGATCCAACCCACTAAAAACAAATGAATGAGGATCCATTCCCAATCTGTCTAGCTGATCGGATAACAGTGGGATGTAAAGACAGACGGGGTCCGTTTATATCTGACCGCCCATAGAGGAAAGCCAGCTGTATCCATGTCCGCTCTACATAAGCGGAGCGGACATGGCCCTGTCATCCGTCTGCTCAGTGGAGATCAGCAGAGAGATCCCCAGCTGAGCAGGCGGATCCGCTCATGTGAAAGGACCCTAATAGGTATTAAAGTGACCCTGTTGGTCTGTAGGAAAATCCTAAATGGCAGCCTCCTGTGTCTTCTCCCTTAACTCTGTTCATGTGCTATAGTCCTGTCACTCCCCTCAGCATTCAATACAGCTGGAAGTGTGAAATGTCCATGTCCCCAGACTGTGTCCCCATAGCATGCGTTGTGTGTCTTCTAACACCTACATCACTTTCGAACACAATCGTGACATAGGGAATGGAGGATGGAAGCACAGCGTGTAGTGGGGGACGCAGACACACAACACTCCCAAATGCTGGAGGATCAGATGAAGGTTGCAGTTCTGGAATAGAAGGAAAGTAGGAGACACTAGCTGCCGGCGAGGTGAGTACAACGGCTCTTGTACTGCAGGCGAACTTCCCATTGGGATTTTTTTAAACACTGACAGGGTCACTTTAAAGACCTAATTTCATGTAGAGGTAGTTACTGGTAGTTATGGCTACTTACCTATGCCATATTTAGATAGTGATATGAATGTAGTGAAGATAAATTTATAAAAAAATAACAATCACCCCCTGACAGACAGTTAAACTATTTGATCCTTATGGTTTTTTGCCATTGCTGATATCTATTGGAAAATCCTACCTGTCTTTAGCTTCAATACTTGAGTCACAGACCTGGACAAAGCACATTAAATCAGAGCTGGCATTCTGCACGCTTTTGGCAGGTAAATGACTCTCAGGAATAATAAACAGAGACAATGGAGCTCCATATGAGTGGCAGCCCTCCAACATACAGGAAAGGCCTAAATGCTGTGGGCAGAAAAACATTATGCCCCATTCACGCTGTGGGGGGGTTATTTACTAAAACTGGAGAGTGCAAAACATGGTGCAGCTCTGCACAGAAACCAATCTTCTTCCAGGTTTTCTTGTCAAAGCTTAAAGCGGAGCTCCACCCAAAAGAGGAAGTTCCGTTTTAAGCCTTTGTCCCCCGCTCCCCATTAAGGATTGGCACCTTTTGGGAGCAGGTACCCGAATTTGGCAGGTACCCACTACCACTGCGATCGCCTGAGGCAATGGGAAGCGGAAGTTGTCTTCCCCCCTCCCTCCCTGTAGTCTTCTGGGACACGTGACAGGTCCCAGAAGAGTACAAGGCCATTCACAAAGCACAGCGCTTCTCGCGCATGCGCAGTGGGCAGTCAACTGTGAAGCCGCAAGCTGTCAAAGCCAGGTGCCCACACTGAAGATGCCGGGGAGAGAAAAGACTGCCGGTGAAACCAGCGGTGGTGAGGACACTGCTGCACCGAGGGACAGGTACGTGTCTGCATTTTAATAGTCAGCAGCTTTTTTTGTAGCTGCTGACTTTTTTTTTTTTTTTTTTTAGGTGGAACTCCGCTTTAATTGAAACAAGCTGAAGTTAGAAGCTGATTGGCTACCATGCACAGTTGCACCCGATTCTGAGTGATCCAGCTTTAGTAAATCTATCCCTTTGTGTTGCATTAACCAAGTGGGGTGTTCTACAGGAAAATATGTCAAGCCAAAACTTTTTTTCTTTTTCCCTTTAATGACGTGGAGAGGGGTTAAACCCCTATTAGGTTTTTTTTTTTTTTTTTTGCTTCCTGTGTCCTGTAGGGGAGATTTCTCTCAAATTCCAGTCCTAGGGACACAATAGGGAATGAAAGGAAATTTCTTCAAAGTGAAAAGAAGTCCTATTCTAGAATGTAGTCACAAAACAAGTGTTCCCACTGCTCTGATGACGATTTAAATTTATTGGATTAGCCCGCACTGTCCCAAAGACCATGATCACCAAGAGCAATATAGGGGATAAGCACCCCAGCGTGGGAGGGACACAGACAGCAATAAAAGCCCGACAAAGCCAGCCATATCCGAAAGAGATAAAAGAAAACTGTCTTTACATACACTTTAAAGCAGTCCCTATTACACGAAAAAATTAGATATGATCCATATTCAGACGTGGCATGCCACAAACATGCACCTTGTGGTCTGCTTCCCATTACTTTACGGCATATTGGGCTGTATTTAAAAGTATTGGCACCAGGACACATTGTGGTAAATCATATGTTTGTGAAGCCCGTTAATAGGATCAGTAAAACGACATAGGCTTAGAACTAACTTTTTTAATCTTTGCCAACCTTCGGATGTGTCTCTTCGGATGCGTCCTCTGGAGTGGCTGTGATGAGGGAATCTGACCTCCTGACTTTTGGTAATAACTTCATAGAGTCTGATTTGTGTTTCTTTGGTTTTGGCAAGATGTTATCGAACAATTCTGCAAATAAAAAATGAAATACAACATTCCAGTTCACATAAGGAATCGCATACAGAATATTAGACATAAACAGGTTTTCTGACATAAATCCAAAGTACGTAGAACAGAAAATTGTCCGCAAAACTATTCAAGACATGGGATTCAGGAAAAGAAAATTGAAGGTCTAACCCAAACAGTACCCAATCATTGAACTCGCATTATTCCATGTGTTTAATTATGTTGTGTTCAGACTAGTTTAACTACTAGCCTACAGGGCACTTATACCCCCTTCCTGCCCAGGCCAATTTCCAACTTTCAGAGCTGTTGCACTTTGAATGACAATTGAGCGGTCATGCAACACTGTACCCATATGAAATTTTTATCAATTTTTTGTGACAGATAGAGCTTTATTTTGGTGGTATTTAATCACCTCTGGGTTTTTTTATTTTTTCTTAAACAAACCAAAAACCACTGAAAATTTTGAAAAAACTAAATTTTTTTCTTAGTTTTTGTTATAAAATTTTGTAAATAAGTGATTTTTCTCCTTCACTGATGTGTGCTAATGAGGTTGCAGTGATGGGCACTGATAGGCTGCACTGATAGGTGGCACTGATGGGCACTGATGAGGAGGCACTGGTAGGTGGCACTGATGGGCATTGACAGGCATCACTGGTGGGCACTGAAAGGCAGCACTCATATATGGCACTGATAGGCGGCACTGACTGGCACTGTTAGATGGCACTGATAGGCAGCACTGATGCACACTGATAGGCGGCACTAACTGGCACTGATAGGTGGCACTGACTGGCATTGATAGGTGACACTAAAAGGCAGCTGAGACAGGCACTGATATGTGGCATTGATGTGCACTGGTATGCACTGATATGTGGCGTTGATGTGGCAGTGATGGGCACTGGCAGGTGGCATGGATGAGCACTGACAGCTGGCACTGATGGACACTGACAGGTGGCACTGCTGGGGCTACACTGATGATCAGTGCACATGTCCCCTCTGAGGGATGCCAATTACCGGCTCTGCTCTCCTCTGGAGCTGGTAGCTCGAGAGGAGAGAAATGCTGATAACCGACATTTCCCTATTTACATGTGATCAGCTGTGATTGGACACAGCTGATCACATGACCGAGCCGACCTCTTCAGCTCTTTCCGTTGATCCGAGGGACACAGCGCACCACCGATCGTCGCGCTAAACGCGCTCCTGTAGCCGCGCATGCGTGGTTAGAATGGGACGACGTCATATGACGTCCTCCCAGAACGAGAGAACTGCCTTGCGCCCGTCATTACACTATATGGCGGGCAGGAGGCGGTTAAACTTAGAGTATAAAGGTTTAGAGAAAATGGGTAAAGGCAAAAGAAGTAAAGAAAATATTAAATAAAAAGGGGGGGGAGAACGTGGGACACCTTTAACAAGTCATTAGGAAGAAGCAGGGTGGATTTGATTTAAATCAAACTGATTTAAGCTGTATCCAGGTTGATGAATTGATCAACTTGGGTACATTCAGCCTATACATGGTTTGACGGTCCCTGCTGAATCGGCTGAGATTCAAACCATCTATGGCCGACTTCAGAGCTTATTTACATCACTGACAGGGAGCAGATTTTAAACAAAAGTAATTTTAAAGCCTGCAGTGCAGAAATGATATTGCAGTAAATGGTGTCCTATTAAAATAATCACAAGACACAAAAGAATATAAAGCCAGCCTTAAATAAAGATTTATATAATATATATAGATTTTATATATATATATATATATATATATTATATATATATATATATATATATATATATATATATATATATATATATATATATATAAGACCCCCCCATTCACCTGAAGTCACGAGAGTGATGACCGACTCCGGGTGGAATCTGTTGGTCATGCGGGTCTTTGGGCTGAGACTGAGCTGTAGATCAAGGGTTGAACTAGACACTTCAGGGCTTTTCTGTTTATCTACAGTGGTTCCAAAGCTAAAATGGGATGTATTATACAAAGACTAGTTAAAGATCAACTTAAACACATAAAATCAATCAAATGACAGCAATTGCTATACAATTAACATTGCAGCTGTGCTAATCTAAGGAAGTCCACACAATTTTCCATTGATCTAATGTTAACATAATCCCTTGCAGCCAGATGCAGCATGGCCACCTACCTTAACATATGCCTCCCTCCCCAGCAGCACATACCTTTCTTTTTTTTCCTCAACCACTCCATTGAACTGCCAGGAGCAAAGAAAACCTCTGGTACCCTTAGGTATGGAGCAGCATGTGACTTGCTCCTTGTGATAATGCTGGGCCAATCACCAAGCACCAGTGATGGTATAGAGGGAGAGTCCATATCCCTGTGAAAGCTATGACTTCTGTCACTAGTATCTTAATGCAGGTATATTCTCCTGCTCTTTGGCAGATCAATGAGAGTACCATTTTTATGCTACACTCTTTGGTGATTACATTGTTACTGGTTACCCCTTTTTATCTCCTTGTCCCTCACTTTTATTTTCCTATCTCCTCTTTCTGGAAATGTGTTGTTATAAATGTCATCTGTAGCTTCATGTGCCTATTATTGATCTTACTAACATGTTGCTGTTTACTTTGCTCTTTCCTTGTAAAGCTTAAAGTGATTGTAAAAGGGGGGAGGATTGTCAGGATGAGTCTGATCACTGGAGGAGAGCACACTGAGTTCCCAGCACATTGAGTTCCCAGCACATTGAGTTCCCAGCATAGCTAGAGAACTGACCACGCTGTGCTCTCGTGCCCAATGTGGTCAGTTTTTTAATAGGAGAGCAGAGGGGCTGGCAGCAACACCAGAGATTTCACACAAAGGAACAGTACAAAGAGAATAGGATACTTTTTCATACAAGTATATGGTACAGCAGGCACATATCAGAAATATAAAATGTCGGGTTTACATATTCTTAAATCTGCATTGCATAGCAAAGCACACTTGCTTAAGGAGATGCAAGTTCACTTTTTCACAAAATATACACCCAATACCAAATAAAAGAGGGGAAGAAGAGTGGGGCATTCAAATCTTTAGACCGCTGCATCCGATCAGTGACACCCAATGAGGTAAGTGTAGCGGGGAATGTGGGGGGGAGGGGAAGTTGAGGGTGTAGGGTGTTAAGTTTACCTTTTTTTGAAAAGGTAAACTTGCACTTTAATCTTGACTTGAAGACTAGTTGAGGTACTTTGTATAGCCTTGTCCTAGGATCAAGTGGATCTCTACAGGGAAACATTGAGTAATCCGGAGACCAACATAGCTATTTGCAAACATCTCAAGGTGATGGAACTTCAGACCTGGCACCATAGGATCTTTTTAGGTCAGGTTCATTTTAATGAGTATGGAAACTCTAACAATGAACTTCTCTTGCTTCTATTTAGTCTATCGACCATACATTTTAACCTGTACACTACAAACATTTATGTATGCTTTCTCTTTGAAGTTTACCTGTATGATTTTGTTCCCATAGAAGGTACCAGACTTCTCGATATAGCCGGCTTGTCTGATTCAGGAAGAGGAATCATGAAAAAGAGAAGAAAACACAGAAAACACACAGTTCATTTCTCTCTAGCTGTCTTGAAAATGAGTGCACATCACCAAGGAGAGATATTAAAAAAAAAAAATACTTATTCAATTAGTGCATACTGTCAGTATGTGAAAGTACAGAAACCCAGAGCAACCACACTTAAAGTGGAACTTTACCAAAAATCACTTGTTAAAAAATAATGTTCTTTGGCAAGGAACATTCCATATTAATAATTATCTCACCAAAATTATTGTGTGCTGTAAATTGTCTCTAGCATTGTTCCTGGTTCTTCCTGCTGGAGGCTGCCATTTTGCTGAAGCCCAGAGTCCTGAGCAGCATTAAATGTTTAGTCTGTCAGCAGATCTGCACAGTGCCTAAAAATTGAGAGCAACTGAGCATGTGCAGAGTAGGGTGATACAGTGTAATACTGGATTTTTTAAACAGTATAGACACTTATTTTAAATGTTTTTACATAGGTATACATGCAAATGGGACCAGCTTGAAATGATCTACCTGGACTTAATTTTCTGACTTTAAAGTGGAGCTCCACCCAAAAGGGGAAGTTCCGCTTTAAGCCTTTGTCCCCTGCTCCCCATTAAGGATTGAAACCTTTGGGGAATGGGTACCCGAATTTGACAGGTACCTGCTCCCACTTCCGCTGCGATTGCCTAAATGATCAGAAGCGGAAGTTTTCCTCCCCTCCCCGTAGTCTTCTGGTAGACGTGACAGGTCCCAGAAGACTACGGTCCATTCACAAAGCGTAGCGCTTCTTGCGCATGCGCAGCGGGCACCCAGCTGTGAAGCCGCAAGCTGTCACAGCCGGGTACCCACACTGAAGATGCCAGCGCCAGGGAGAAAAGACAGCCGGTGAAACCAGCGATGGTGAGGACACCGCTGGACCGAGGGACAGGCTGTATTTTATAAGTCAGCAGATACGGTTTTTGTAGCTGCTTAATTTTTTTTTTTTTCAGGTGGAACTCCGATTTAAGTTTAATAAAGCCAAATCAGTAAAAGAGGACTTCCGATTGGTTACTAGGGTTTCTGCACTTCCCATTGCTCTCTGCTGTACTGTTTGGACATAAGATACAGATGCTGGAATTGTACGAACCTCTTTTGAGCACATGATCAGTCACCTGGCTTTTGTCATTGTTGAAATCAAGCATGGCATGGAAAGGCGGTGGATGCTGTTTGATGGGTGATGAATATTTAGATAACGGAGGCAAGTTAGTTCTCTGAATAACTGTTACAATGAGAGGAAGCCGATTGCCATTAACGGTTTCCCGTGTCTTTATTGTGCTATGGCGAGGACACACATGATCAATCATGGAGAAATCGCCTGATGGATAAGAATTCAGACAAGACTGTAAATTTTTAGACATTACAGCATCACTTTCCTTACTCTACACTGCTGGTACCTTGTACACATGGGAATGGGACTCACCAACAAAGGAGGCTGGGAGTTTGTTGATGAGCTGGGTTTTCATAGAAATAGACTCAGGCTTCCGGGAATAAGCCAGGGTGGGCTTTTCTATCAATGAGAAAAAAAAAAAAAAAACGGTTTTGTAGAATTCAGGGAAAAAAAAAACACACTGTAGCTGTGCACATTATTCCTTTTCATACCTGCAGGTGGTGCCGTGGCTGTCTGTACTGTATCAGTCTGTGACATAGCGCTTTCAAGGGACTTCATCTGCTATAGAAAAGTTATCTATTTACCACTTTCATCATTACAATAAATTACTTTTTAAGATCTTAAACCTGAAACTTCAGCCAAAATGTTTTTTTTTTGTGCTGGATAGAGAGAATATTTAAAATCTTTTTCTGTGACCCCATGGGATAGATTTTCCCTCGCTCCCTATGTGGTTGCCAGGAACTGAGAAAAATGATCCCTGATAGAAACAGGCAGCCATAAAAGAAGACATAAACAGGTGCCTACTCACCTCTCGTTTTTGTTTTTCTGTGTCCCCTTTACTAGAGCTCTTAGAGACTGTAGATTTGGCTGTTTGGTTAGTAGATTCAGTAGCATCCTAGGAAAATCAAATGAAAAATATATAGAAAGTCTCAATTATTTATTTAGTGTTTTATCCAGTAATTGGTTTTAAGTATATGTAAATCCAATCACTAAAATGCTATATAAACTTTAATATATTAATCTACATTCAAGCAAAAATGTTGAATATTTTTGAACCTGCATTTTTTTTTATTAAAATAATGCTTGGATCCTGACATTAAGGCTTTACAGGCACTTCCTTTTAAAGGGTGGCAATGCCCAGTCCCCATCTCCCCAAAGTCACTTTGTCACACAGGTGATATAGACTACAAGTGGCCCATTCAACACACATTATACAGGCATGGTCCACTGTTGTCATCATCAGGAAACCTGCCATGAGAAATGCCCTGCAGCCGTCACTGGAGTATATGTAGACAGGAATGCTGCAGGACATCAACATCACTGAGGTGGAGCAAAAGGATGAAAAAAAGGTGAATAATATTTTATTAGAAATGGTAATTGATTATGATACACAGTGCTTTGGCAAACTAAATGTCATTTAGTTTACTGTACATCTACTTCAAAATGTGACCTTCGGGAAGAATATGTCTTGATATGGACCGCCTGTAATCTGTACAGTAGCAACTGGCAAGGCAGGAGGCCTGATTTTTTGCTGCTGCAATTAAAGGGGTATTAAAAAGTGCCCAGTACTGAAATGGTTAAAAACCCAAAACTTCTATTTCACTATTATATATAGTTTATTAGTTCTATACTTCTACATCATCTGTCACTCATCTTCTAGCAGAATCCTCAGCTCATTCCACCAGGAGGTCTCACTGTACCCTGTTTGTTGCCTGCAATGTTAAATAAAGTACAAATACTATATTTTTGGTGCTCTAGCAGAAATGTCAACTCTGTGTCCACCCAAACCCCTCCACTCCTTTTGAAGCATCCTCCAAAATGGAAAAATATTAAAGTCCAACTCCAGGCTTACTTTCATTTTTATTAGCTTGTTTAGGCCAAGCTGGCCCAAATGAACAATTTCCTTTACTAAGTGATGCAGCTGCTGTCAGCGCTGCAGCATCTACATACAGTATAGTGTGCTGTGTTCAGGCAGGTATGGGGACTGTTTGCTGCCAGAAAAAAATCAAGCAGGACCGAGTGCTTCTCTTGGCTATGGAGAGGAGAGGTGGGTGGATGATGTTACCGTCTCTACCTCTGCCACTCAGAGGAAGCCTCATATTCATGAATAAAATGCAAGGCTTCCTGTAAATGGCTGAGAAGCAATCAATTCAGGTCAATTTTGTTCTAGCTGCAGACTGGAGGTCCCTGTACCGCTGCCGGAACACAGTGCTGCATACAGTTAATGCAGTGCTGACAGCAGCCACATCAACTGGTAAAGGAAATAGTTCATATATACCAGCATGGCCCAAACAAACCATTTCAACTGAAAGTATACCTGCAGTTAGAATTTAAATCCTCTGCCAGCAAGACCCCCTTTCTGTGGCTGTGGTGGGTAGGCGGTGCTGAGAGCTGGAAATTCTCAGGTGAAGTCCTCAAAAAATCAAGAAGATACGTGATTTAATATATCCCTTTTTTGATTAAACCTTTCATTTTTCAGTTGAAACAGAGCCAACATTTTTAATAATTTTTAAGAGGCTGACTTACCACCAGGCTGCTCTGAGACTTTGATTTGTGTTTGAAGCTGCGTCTCCGATACATGCTGTTCCTCTCCTTACGAGATCGTAAACGTTTTTTTTTCTGAAAAAACTAGTTAAAAAGCAGAGTTTGGCTGTTATTTACTGTTAATTCCCCTATAATCCATACTAGAGAAAACTCAACTTGTACTGAACAGTGCGTATACATATTAGATGAACAGGCTCAAAGGATCAAATCCACAGGACCAGATCTTTACATATGTGGCCCGGTACAGCCTACAGTATGGCACCTGGTGTTATTGAAAAGATGGTCTGAACCCTTGACTGATGCAAATAGAAGTTGTATATTACTAGAAACAGTATAGTAGTGGAAAGTTGAATACAGAGATCCAACGTCTCACCTTTCCTGCCATGTTCAGCAAATGCGCAGGAAGTCCATCAGACTCGGAGCTATTTGATCCACTGGTGCTGCAAGAAGCAATAAGAAATGAGTGTTTTAGATGCCATTATGGCCAAGCAGTAATCATACACAAGTGTCCTAATCTGGCCTAAAACTTTTCTACTGGTAGCAACAGAACAGAAACACAGACACCATGGCAGTACTAGGATCGTTGGTTCGAATCCCAGCCATGGCACCACCTGCCTGGAGTTTGCATGTTCTCCCTGTGCCTGCGTGGGTTTTCTCTGGGTACTCCGGTTTCCTCCTACACTCCAAAGACATGCTGGTAGGTAAATTGGATCCTGTCTAAATTGCCCTAATATGTGTATGTATGAATGTAAGTTAGGGACCTTAGATTGTACGCCCCTTGAGGGTTAGGGACTGATGTGAATGTACAATATATATGTAAAGCGCTGCGAAAATTGACGGCGCTATATAAGTACCTGAAATAAATAATAATGTGGTTTTTGTATGTAGCTGTCAAGTGAGCAAACTTCTATTCACGAAATAGCCAAATGGCAGAAGAGACGGGCCTAATCTTCACAAAAAATGACACTGCCGCTTCACTTCTCTCCTTCTGCAGGTATTTAAAGCTTCCCACTGGGCATGCTGGTTTCTTCTGTTCATATGTTACTACAAGATAAGAGCTGAAGGGAGGACCTACTGCATGAGAAAGGGGGGAGGTAATAGACCTACCCAACTGGTCAAATACCTGCATGGCTGGGGAGCAGTAAAGCAGCTGTGTTTCAACATACAGGCTTCAGGAAACAAAAGCAGAGTGTTATTACATGGCTGGTCCTTTTTTTGTAAGCGACTGTACAGGACTCCAGGGGATGTGTCCTGGATAAAGAAGTCTGTGCCTCCATTGTTTGAGTTGTGCTCCCTTTAAGGGGGATGACAAGAGCAGTTGAAGTGCTCACGGATCCAGGGGTTGTAAGGAGGGGGTTCGCGTGTGTGTCTGAGGAAGGCGGTGCACCCCTGAAACATGCCAAATTGCCAGTATAGCAGGGTGGCTTTGGAGCACGCGCATTCTGCACTCTGCGGCATCTTCTGGTTTACATGCTCTTACACATTGTACTTTTGCGAGTATTCATTTTTATCATTCTATATATTCCCAATAAATTTTGATAATGCATTAGGTACTTGCACCTTCCCCCTCTGTTCTTTTTATAGGGCAGGAAGCAGCTAGCAGGTGTCCATAAGGTGTGATGTGAGGCAGGACATGTTTGTGAGAAGGATCCATGTATTGTTTGGGCTACTGAGACATTGTTGAGCTGTAATGACCTTTTCTTTGGACCCCTGGAGTAGAGATGAAACATTTTCAGAAATTTGCAAGCCATGAGCAAAAAAAAACTTTTCCCCCATGTTTTTTGCTGGAAAAATAAAAAGAAATTTGCTGAAAAATTGAAATAAATAAATAAATTCAGTGTGGAGTAGTTTTTCAAACTGAAAGCCATTTTTTCTTTAGGGAACCTCTGGGATGAAAGAATGTATTTGTCATCCTTGTAGCATTTGGAAAAGAATATTTTGTCTCACAATATTTGCAAGTTGCAGCTTTGCTCTTAGCAGATATTGCACTGTGGAAACCTTTCCAAACTCTAGATCAGTGGTTCTTAACCTGGGTTCGATCGAACCCCAGGGGTTCGGTGAGTCAGTCTCGAGAGTTCGGCGGAGGTGAAGACCCACACCCGACTCATATGATTCGTGCAGTAAATATTCATTATTATGTTTTTGTTTTTGTGTGAAAATCATGTTTTAATGGTTTTGTTCTTTGTTCTTAACGGTTTTGTTCATTTTGTGCACCTATGTATAAATATATACCTAAATATATACCTATGTTTTGAATTTTAAAAATCATATTTTATTTTTCCAATTAAGAAGGGTTCGGTGAATGCGCATATGAAACTGGTGGGGTTCAGTACCTCCAACAAGGTTAAGAACCACTGCTCTAGATGTTGGTCTCACCTTTATACTGAGAGGAGAAAAAGGGAAACCAATTTACTGACCAGACTATAGGTGATGTTGAGGAACACTAATAGGGGTACATTTGTAAATGATTCCTAACTGTACTAGTGTATCCCAACAATCACCCAACTGTAGGAGGTACAAGATGGAGCCCTCAAGAAGAACACTAATAGGGGTAAATTTGTAAAATGATTCCTAACTGTACTAGTGTATCCCAACAATCACCCAACTGTAGACAGTATAAGATGGAGCCCACAAGAAGAACACTAATAGGGATAAATTTGTAAAATGATTCCTAACTGTACTAGTGTATCCCAACAATCACCCAACTGTAGAAGGTACAAGATGGAACCCACAAGAAGAACATCAATAGGGATACATTTCTAAAATGATTCCTAACTGTACTAGTGTATCTCAACAATCACCCAACTGTAGGAGGTACAAGATGGAGCCCTCAAGAAGAACACTAATAGGGGTAAATGATTGTACATGATTCCGAACTGGTACTATTGTATCCCAACCATCATCCAATTGTAGAAGGTACAAGATGGAGCCCACATGCAAACTAAACTGGAGCCTTTCCCTTGCAGTGCCCCTTAGTGGCAAAAATGCACATTTCTCTTGTTTGAGAACTGCATTGAGAAGTACAGTGTTACTTGAATTGTATTTCAGGATTTACTTTTCTTTAGCTGAGGGAACTTAATTATTTAAGACTTTACATAAAGTCTCAGAAATCTTTCATTAAGTTTTTCATGTTATACAGTTTGAATACCATGTCATAGATATATTAGTAATCATTGTAAAAGAACATATTCCACGCTCCCCCCCCCCCCCCATTTTTTCCAGTAAAAAAAAACATTTTTTTCCAATTTTTCCATTTTTTTTCCAGGTCTTCCCATCTCTACCCTGAAGCAGCTGGTGACTTTAAACCCTGTTGTGGGATAAGGTTTTGCAAGAGGTGAGCCCAGGTTTTGCTTTAAATCTAAGGTTGATGGACTGTTCTGTTTTCATGCCATTTTCATTTACCGTAAAAATAAAGACTGCTTTTACCAACACGGCTGGTAATCTGGACTCCCCCAAATATCACAGTGACTTTGTAGTGTTTTCTAAGTGGCCCTCTGGTGACAGGTTCACTTCAAAGTTGAACTCCACTAAATTATTTAAAGAAGCCCTCTTCTTCAGTCTGCCACTACTCATAAGTGTTGTAGGGCAAAGTGGAGAATCCTTCACGTGGAAGCTAAATATTGTTGTAGTTTCTAAAAACCTTCAGTCATGTAATTGGGACTAAAACCTCATTTTATGCATACAGAAGTGTTATAAAATTAAAGGGTACAGCTATACATAGAACAAGAGGTGGCAGCAAAATAAAAGGATCGAATGTGAAAGTCAAGGATCAAATGCACATCAGATATACTGTATACAAAGAGCAAAAACCTTACTAATTATGAGAATTCGCAAATAAAGCCTAGACTAAGTACAAAGACATTACATCATATTAATTATATAAAGTAACACTTGGCATATGGAGGTGGAAACGTGTGAAATTCTCACACTGCATCCAATGCTAGTGTCAGCCTTGCTAATTATTGAAAATCACTAAATAGGAAACTTCAAATAAAATCCTGTAAGAGGAAGATTTTGAAAATAGTAAATATCTATTAAAGTGGTTCTAAAGGCTGAAGGTTATTTATGCATTAAGGTATAAAACCTTTAGTATGCAGCCTTCCTCTCAGTCCCTTTTTATACTCACCTGTGCACCAGAGCAGAAGCTCTCCCAGGGCTCTACCTCCTCATTGGCTGAGACACAGCAGCGGTAGCCATTGGCTCCTGCTGCTGTCAGTCACAGCTAGTGAGAAGGGAGAGGCGGGACCAAGCCACAGTCTGTGTGTCTCAAAGAAACTTTTAAAGCGTTTCCAATGAATAATTTAATGTACTGTAATTTGCCAGCATTCCACGTGCGTGCACAGTTTTAAAGTGTGCCATGTTAGGCATCTGTTTACTCGATGTATCATTTTTTATATTTTACCAAACAATTGGGTATTATATTATGTTTTTGTGCATTAATATTCAATAAAGTTTATTATTTCTGCAAACATTGGGTTTGAAAAACCGGCGTGCAATGAAATCCATGTGACATAAAAAATTGCAACACCGACCACTTTATTCTCTAGGGCCTATAATGTTTGGGTTGGGGGTTCCAAATATTTTTCTAGCAAAAAATGCTGATTTTTACATGTAGGAGAGGAATGTCAGAATTGGCCAGGACCTGAAGTGGTTTAGCACATATCCAGACAAAATCTCACCTGATCTCACATCCTTTTCCATCCATTAAGCATCTTTCAATGCGGATTTGACTCACCTACCATCATGCTTCCCTAACCAGCAGCGTGCAGTGGAGTGGAGAATGAAGGTCCAGTGTTGCAGTCTGTGGCTAATGTTGACCAGTCCCCTCTTTAAGATGTCATTGTGCTGCTGCAGTCTTATGGAGCCCAAAAGCACCCCACTTCTGAACATTCAAAAGGAAGTGTTCACATCACCAAGGCAGCAGTGTGGACACTCAAAGGACCATCCCACTCAGCAGTCCAAGGTATAGAAGACCTGGAACCCATAACATCACCACAAAAAAAAAAAAAAAAAAAAAAAAAAAAAAAAGTCTTTTG